AGAGAGGATAGAGTAGATAGGTAAATAGAGAAATAGAGAGAGAATAAAGATAATAGATAGATATAAATATTAATATATAATCAAATATCCACATAGATATTTACAATTTTTTTTTGTTCATTTATTCAAACAGTTTTATGTCACCTCAAAAAAAAGAAAAAAAAAATGAGGCACGAGAATAATCAATTAATTTAGCGTTTAATAAAGTGATTCTCATTTATAGCATAATCTATTAAGGTAATTTTTTTTCTTCACATCTTTTTTATTTTTTTATTCACCCTACAAATCACTCTTTTATTTCCACTCCTCACCCTAAATCATCGTTCTTTTTCAACTCTCCACCCTAAATCACCTTAAAAAATCATAACCTCATCACCGTTTTTTTCACAATTAAATTCACCCTTTCTTGACAACCCACACCCTAAATTCACCCTAAATAAACCCTAAATAAACCCTAATCATCTTTTCCACCCTTTCTCTTCAACGTCACACATTTCACCCTAAATCTAACTATTTTTCACCAAATAAACCCTAATTTCACCCTAAAATTTCTCCTCTTTCATCCTAAATTCACCTAACTTTTTGCACCCTTTTCAACGTTTTTTTTTTCCAAACTAAAGTCCCCTTTTTCACCCTAAATTACATTTTCATCCAAAATAAAACTCTTATTCAGCCTAAATTCTCTCTTCTTTTTCACCCTAAATTCCTTCTTTTCACAACATTTACCGTACACCCTATATTCACGCCTAAATTTCAGCCTTTTCCACCCCATCTTCACCCTATTTCACCCTATCTCTCACTCCTTTTCCACCCTTTATCTCACCCTAAGTCACCTTTTTCCACCCCAATCTTCACACCCTAATTTCACCTTTTTTTCCCACTTTAATTTCACCCTTAAATTCACCCACCTCTTTTCGACCCTAATTTTTCAATCCTAAATTCACCCTCTCCACTTAAATTTCACCTAATCTCACCCTACATTCAACCTTTTTCCATTTCCACCCCAATTTTCACCCCTAATTCTCCCTAATTTTTCACCCTAATTTCACCTTTTCCCACTTTAATTTCACCCTAAATTCACCCTAATTTTTCACCCTAAATTCACCCTAATTTCACCCTAAATTCACCTTTTTCCACCCTAATTTCACCCTCTCCCTCCCTCTCTCCCTCCCCCACAGGACGCAGACGGCGAAAAGGGTGACCGCGGTCCTGGACTGTGGCGAGTGTGGCGAGTGTGAGAAAGGTGTTAAGGGTGACACTGGCTCTGAGGGACTCCCAGGGCCCCCCGGTCTACGAGTCCCCCAGGGCTTTTTGGCTACCCTGTATAGAGGGGGAGGACGGCCAGCCGGGACCCGCGGATTGCCAGGAAGGAGGTAAGGAGTGGGGGGGAGAGAGAGAGGGAAAGGGAGAGGAGAGGGGAGGGGAGAGGGGGGTGAAAGGGATAGAGAGAAGGGAGTAGAGTAGGAAGAGAAGGAGATAGAGATATATATATGTGTATGTTATACATTCTATGTATATACACACACACACACCTATACATATATATGTTATATATATTATTGTGTGTGTGTGTGTGTGTGTGTGTGTGTGTGTGTGCGTGGCGTGTGGTGTCTATCCACATGATATTGATATATTAATCTGAATATTGATAGTGAGTATATTAAATTAGAATAAATTAAATTGAATATTAGATATGAACATTCCACTTATTTTTATAAATCATTATTATTTTGTATAAATTCTACCTTATTCCTCTTTATATATATATATAATATATACATACATACATAATATATATATATATATACATATATATATATTTATATAATAATCTAATATATATATATATATATATATTATATATATATATGCATATATATGTATAATACTGAATCTTTAAATTAAGATAATATCAAATATTAATATTAAATATTGAATTAAGTATTAGATAGTGAATTAATATTAGGTATTAAAGTTGCTCCCTATTTTTATAATAATAATTATATTTTGTATAAATTCCAACCTTATTGCTTTTAATAAGATAGATATCTAAACATATATATATATATATATATATATATATATAATATATAATATATATCTACTCTTAATTTAATAGTCTTATATTACATGTATAAATATATATACAGATACGTTCTATACTAATACATATTTTAACACCCCCTCCCCCCTTCCCCTTCCCTCCCTTCCCCCTTTCCCCCTCCTTCCCCTCCCTTCCCCCCTTCCCCTTTCCGCTTCCCTTCCCCCCCCTTTCCCCCCCTTTCTCCCTTTTCCCCTTTCTCCCTTTCCCTGTCCCTTCCCTTTCCCCTCCCCCCCTTTCCCCTCCCCCCTTCCCTCCCTTTCCCCTCCTCTTTTCCCCTTCCTCCTTTCACCCCTTTCTCCTTCCCCTTGTTCCCTTCCCGTTCCCTTTTCCCCTTCCCCCTTTTCTCCCCCCTTTCTCCTTCCCCCCTTCCCCCTCTTTCTCCCTTCCCCTCCCTTTCCCCCTTCCCCCCCCCTCCCCCCTTTTTCCCTGGCCCCCCCTTCCCCTCCCCTTTCCCCCCTCCTTTCCCCCTTCCCTTCCCCCCTTCCCCTCCGTCCCCCTTTCCCCCCACACACCCAATGGCCCTACCGGGCAACGCCAGGTCTCCTCCGGCCCTAGGCGAGAAGGTAGAGGTCCGCCCTCGCTCGCCCCGGTCCCCCTGGACCATAAGGGTGTGACCGTGGTAGCACCTGGATTTAGAGGCATCGACGGGGTGAAGGGAAGAAAGGGGCTTCCTGGACGCGATGGGATTCAGGGCTTCCAGGACTTAAGGTAGATAAGGGCGACCCTGGGTTGGATGGTGATGGGGCTTTACATGAGTATATTGTCTGTTTTATTTATTTATTTATTTATGGATTTATTATCTATATAATTTTTTTGTAATTTGTTTCGATAGGGACGATGTCTATTTATCTTAGTAGGGTTATATTCTATTTATCTAGTTAGGGTTTTTTTATTTTTTCTATTTATCTAGTAGGTTTAATCACTATTTATCTAGTAATTTTTGTAATTTGATCGAGGGTCGATGTTATTTATTAGTAGGTTTATATCTATTTATCTAGTATTTTTTTGTATTTTATTTGAATGAGTGGATCGGGTATCTCATATTTATACTAGTAGTTTATATCTATTTATCCTAGTATTTTTTTTGTATTGTATTTTGATGAGGGTGAGGTTATCCTCTATTTACTAGTAGGATGTATATCTATTTATCTAGTATTTTTTTTGTATTTTATTTGAATGAGTGGTTGAGGTATATCTATTGATCTAGTAGGTGTATATCTATTTATCTGTAGTTTTTTTGTATTTTATTTTTGAATGAGGGTTGAGGTTTATTCTATTTATCTAGTAGTAGGTTTTATATCTATTTATCCTAGTATTACTTTTTTTGTATTGTATTTTTGTTGGATTTGAGGGTTTTATGGTATCTCTATTTATCTAGTAGGTTTATATCTCTAATTTATCTAGTTAGTATTTTTTTTTGTGTTATTTGTATTTTGGATTTGAGGGTGGTTGAGGTATCCTCTATTTATCTAGTTAGGTTTATATCTATTATCTAAGTTTTTTTTTTTTTGTAATTTTATTTTGAATGAGGGTTGAGGTTATCGCTATTTATCTAGTATGGTTTATATCTATTTATTCTCAGTATATTTTTTGTATTTTATTTGACTATGGAGGTTGTGAGGTTCTTATTTATCTAGTAGGTTTATATCTATTTATCTAGTATTTTTTTTGCTATTTATTTGAATGAGGGGAGGTTATTCTATTTATCTAGTAGGTGTAATAATCTATTTATCTAGTATTTTTTTTTTGTATGCTATTTTCATGAGGGTTGATAATCTCTATTTATCTAAGTAGGTTTCTATCTATTTTATCTAGTTTTTTTTTCTATATTTTATTTTGATATGGAGGGTTTGAGGGTTTTTCTTTATCTATATTTATCTAGTAGGTTTATATCTATTTATCTAGTATTTTTTTTTTTTTTGTATTGATTTGAATGAGGGTTTGAGGTATCTCTATTTATTAGTAGGTTTATACTATTTATCTAGTAGTTTTATCCCGGCCCTCTCCATTTATTAGTCTATGTTTATATCTATTTATCTAGTATTTTTGTATTTGAGGGGAAAGAGGGATCAAAACAAAAATCCCAAAGTATCTATATTTATTCTAGTAGATTTTATATCTATTTATTCTAGTATATTTGCATCTATTATCTAGGTATGTTCTACATCTATTTATCTAGTGTTATATTCCTTATCAATATGTTTATGTTCTATTTATCTAGTAATTTTTGCATTTGATGAAGGGTTTCAAAAGTATCTCTATTTATTCTAGTAGATTTTTTTTATCTTTTTATCTAGTATATCCATATTTATTTTTTAGTATGTTTATATCTCATTTATCTAGTAGATTTATATTATTTATCTAGTATTACTTATTATATTCGATATATTTAGTATATTTATTTCTAGATATTTATATTCTATTCTACTAGTATATTTATATCTATATATCTAGGCCATTATATCTATTTATCTAGTAATTTTGCATTTTGAGTTAGAGTCTTAAATAATCTATAATTATCTTATAGTATAATATTCTATATATTTATATAGTATATTTTTTTGGATGTCATGAGATCTCTGTTATCTAGTAATATGTTTATCACATAGTATATTCTATATAGTTCTAATATATCTATTTATTCCAGTATGTTTTTTTCACTGTCAATGTCATCTCTGTTTAATCTAGTAACATTTTAAAATTTATTTTATCTAGTATTAATATTTCTTTTTTTGTGTTTGTATATTTTCTGTTTCAATCTATTTTTTTTCTACTTTATCTAGTATCTGGCTTATTTTTTTCAGTTTCTATAGTCTCTATTTATCAATGATTAGTGTCTGTCTTCTCTATATATCTCTCTCTTTTTTTTACTTTTTTCTCTTTTCTGTCTCGCTTTCTGTCTCCTCTCTCTCTCTCTCTCTCTCTGCTCGATTTCTCTACTATCCTCTCTCTCTCTCTTTCTTCTTCTTCTCTCTCTCTCTCTCTCTCTCTTTCTATCTCTCTCTCTCTCTCTCTATTTCTCTCTCTCTCTCTCTCGCTACCTCTCTCCCTCCCTCTCCCCCTCGCTCTCTCTCTTCTCTTTTATTCTCTCTTCTCTCTCTCTTATCTCTCTCTCTCTCTTCTTCTCTCATTTCTCTCTCTCTCTCTTTCTCTCTCTATCTCTCTACTCTCTCTCTCTATCCCTCTCTTCCCCTCTCTCTCTCTCTTCTCTTTTATTCTCCCTCTCTCTCTCTTCTTTCGCTCTCTCTCTCTCTCTTCTTTCTCTCTCTCTCTCTTTCTATCTCTCTCTCTCTTCTCTCTCTCTCCCTCTCTCTCTCTCTCTCTCTCTCTCTCTCTCTCTCTCTATCTCTCTCTCTTCCTTCCTCCTTCCTTCTCCCTCATACCCCCCACCTTTCTCACCCCAAAAACCTAACCACCCATTTCCTTCTCTTTCTCTCTCCCCCCTCCCCTCCCCTAACCCCCTACCTACCCCTCCTCCCCCTCCCCGTACCCCTACCCCTCCCCTCCCCTCTCCCCCTCCCCTCCCCCCCTACCCTCCCCACCATCACCTCCCCCTTCCCTTACCCAACACACAGGTCGACCAGGTACCCCCGGCCGCCCGGGTATCGAAGGCCGACGGGCTTTGGCGAGAAGGGACCAGGGCCGGCATCGACGGAGGGAAGGGAGACAAAGGAGAGGAGGAGAGAGAGGCCTCCCTGGACGAGACATGAAGCCCGAGGAAATAGTAATCTCCCTGCAAAGGGAGATAAGGGAGAAAAGGGAGAGCTTGGACGACAGGATCTCCTGGATCAAAGGGCTCACCAGGACCACCGGTAAGGGAGAGAGAGAGAGAGAGGAGAGAGAGAGAGAGAGAGAGTGAGTGAGGGAGAAAGAGAACGACAGAGAGAGAGAGAGAGAGGGAGAGAGGAGGAGAGGGAGAGGGAGAGGGAAGAGAGGACGAGAGAGAGAGAGAGGATTAGAGGGACGAGGGAGAGGAAAAGAGGAGAGAGGGAGAGAGAGAGTGGAGAGAGAAGAAAGAGAGAGAGAGGGCGAGAGATAGAGAGAGACGAGAGAGAGAAAGAGAGATGGAGAGAGAGCGAGGGAGAGAAGAGCGAGGAGAGAGCAACCCACTGATGAGGGAGAGAGGGAGAGATGAGAGAGATATGTCGAGGGAGGGAGAAAGAGAGGGGAGAAAGAGAGAGGAGAAGAGAGGAGAGGACGAGAGAGAGAGTAGGCGAGAGGGAGAGGAGACGAGAGAGAGTGAGGGAGAAGAGAGAAGAGACTGAGATGAGGAGAGAGAGAGAGAGAGAGAGAGAGAGAGAGAGAGAGAGAAGGAGAGTTGAAGGGAGGAAGTAAGAGAGAGAGGCGAGCGAGAGAGAGAGAGAGACGAGAGAGAGGAGAGAGAGGGAGAGAGAGTGAGGGAGGACGAGAGAGGAGGGAAAGAGAGATGAGAGAAGAGAGAGAGAGAGAGGGATGACGAGAGAGGAGAGAGAGAGAGATGAGAGGAGAGATTGAGAGACGAGAGAGAGAGAGAAGGAGGAAGAGAGAGGAGAGAGAGAGAGAGAGAGAGAGAGGGAGAGAGGAGAAGAGAGTGAGGAGAGTGAGAGAGAGAGAGGAGAGGGAGAGAGAGAGAGAGAGAGAGTGAGGGAGAGGAAGAGAGAGGGAGAAAAGAAGAAAGAGAAAGAGAGAGAGAGAGAGGAGAGAGAGAGAGATGATGAGAGAGAGAGACGCGAAGAGAGGAGAGAGAGAGAAGAGAAGAGGAAGAGAGAGAACGAGAGGAGAGAGAGAGAGAGAGAGTGGAGAGAGTGAGGGAGGAGGAGAGAGGAGAGAGAGCCGAGTGAGGGATGAGGGAGGAAAGATGAGAGAAGAGAGAGAGAGAGAGAGAGAGAGGATGAGGAGAGAGAGAGAGAGAGAGAGAGAGAGGAAGAGAGAGAGAGAGAGAGAGAACGAGACCGAGGAGGAGGGCCTGAGAGGGGAGGCGAGAGAAAGGAGAGAGAGAGAATGAGGGTGAAGGAGAAGAGGAGAGGGGAGACGGAGGTTAGAGCGAGAGCGAAGAGGAGAAGGAAGACGACGGAGATTCGAGAGATAGAGAGATTGGGAGGAGAGTGAGGGAGAAAGACGGAAGGAAAGAGGGGCAGACGAGAGAGAGAGACGAGAGAGAGGAGAGAACGGAGAGAGAGAGATTAGAGAGAGGAGAGAGAGGAGAGAGAGTAGGAGATGAGACGGGGGGAAAAGAAGAGATGAGGAGAAAAGAGAGAGAGAGGGGGGAGGGGAGAGAGGAGGAGTGAGAAGTAGAAGAGAGAGAGAGAGAGAGAGATGGGATGAGAGGTGTTGAGGAGAGTGAGATGGAGTGGAGAGAGTGCCGAGATTGAGAGCGAGGCGCCTAGGAGAGGAGAGGGGAAAGAAGAGATGAGAGA